AAAAAAAAAAAAAAAAGGTGGAGCATAACTCCAGGCCTGAAACTGCTTATCTTTAGAAAGGCCAGCTTCCAGGTTTGGCCCATGGCTGGTGTCTGGGAACTTGGATTTGGAGAGAGTTCTTACCATTCTAACTGATACAGGGCTTCAGTGCTTAAACTTTTTGTACAACCATGTGGTTTATGCTGAACGCCTGCTTTCCTTCCGGGAGTCTGGAATTTTGATATGTGCTAGGCAGAGGGTGCCTATGTGACTAGCCCCCATTAAAAAGTTTGGGCACTTGAGTGGAAAGATGTGAAAGTCTTCTGATTGCTTCTATTGGAGAAAAAAGAAGCAAGGTGATTAGCTGACTGTGAGGAGAGAGGACAGGTTTGAGTAGGTAGAAGGTATGAAATAACTAGGAGAGTAGAAGAGAGAATTGATTACAAAAATGAAGTGGGATTGGCAGGTAGCACTGAAAGCCCACTTGGGTTTGGTCATCATGAATTTAAGATGTTAAGTCAGCATAGTGGTATTTTTCTCTTGCCATGTTTAGCTGTTTTAGTGAAGGCACATAACCAAAGGTAAAGTTTAGCCAAGCAAGTATCAGAGGGGCAGGAGACAAAGAAGTTGAGAATGCATAGCAGGGTGTGATTATAATGTTGGACCATGGATTTTAAACCAGGTGGTCTGGGAAGTGAGGATAGAGAAGGTTGATGGAAGGTCCAGTGGAGTCAAAGAACTGTTGGAGTTGGAATGAATGAGCTGAAAAAATAAGAGATGGTTTGGAGAGTGGGATGCTTGAAATTGAAATTTTGGTGGTATTGGAGTTACTGGTAATGACAATGTCTTAGATATGACATTGTGTAGGTAGATAAGGTGAGGTAGATCATAAAATCACTGGAGTGAGAAGGTCATTGAACCGAGGTGGCAGAGAGTGTTAGAGGTTTACCTCAATACTCATAGTCATTCTCCCTCCTTAATAACAGAATCTTGATTTTTACCTGGGCACATTGCCTCTCTGTATAAAGACACATTTCTTAGCCTCCTGGTAGCTAGATGTATGTGACTAAGTTCTTCTAATGAGATCTAAATGGAAATATTATATGGAACTTCTAGTAAGTCTCCTTAAAAGAAAAGGGGTGTGCCTTTCTTCTACATTTCTCTTTCTTTCCATGTAGAATGCCCATATAACAACTAGAGCTCTAGCAGCCATCTAGGACCATGAGGTAGAAGCCACATGCTGATAGTGGAGCAGAAAGAGGAGCTGTTATGCCATCTCAGTACTATCTTCGTCCAGATTGTTTTATACAAGAGGGAAATAAATTTCAATTTTGTTTAAGCCATGGTTACTATGGGTTTTTCTACTATATGCAGCCTGAACCTAATTCTAATACATTGGATTGGTGAAAGTATTACCTACATTGATGTTAAAATCAACTATAGAAGTAGTTATCTATATATAGAGAGAAGCAGAGAACCTGGTGCTAAAACCTTCACTGAAGGAACAGAAGTAAACAGGAGGTCTGTAGATAACTTCAAACAGGAGAGGGAGTGGGTGCTTCAAAGAAGGTGGGGAATTTGGGAAAGCAGAAAGAAACAACAATGAGGATCAAGGCAGACATTTTTACCCCACCTTCTTTCCTGTGTTAAGATACTGATTTTTTAAATCTTGTGTTTGATTGAGGAAATAAATTATAGATGAAGCCGGGTACCTGAGGGTTACTGTAGATATTAAATCAATTTGCTGTTTTTCCTTTTAAGTTGAGAGGTGACTCAGGAGTCTAGAGGATTTGTGAGTTTGTTTTCCGAAGGATTTATAAGCTTGTTTTGCAGAAGAAAGAGAATGCCTTCGGGGAGATTGGCATCACCATGGCCCTCAGTAGCTCAGCAGCTGTAGAAGCCCAGAAGTCAGATTGCCCAGGGGCTTATCCAGAGTCACCCCTTTGTTTCCCTGAAGCTCCTCCTTAGCTCTATAAAACCCCCTGTTTTCTGTTTTTGGTGAGGTGGATTTGAGCGAACCCAGGCTCCTACCTACGTGTTTTGGCCAATTCAAATAAACCTTTCTCCATCTCCAAGCACCCATGTCTTAGTGTTTGGCTTGCTGTGCATCAGGCACACAAACTTTAGATTAAGAGGTTCGGTATCACAGACAGGACATATTATTTGTGTTTCAAACCAAACAGAACATTAGAGATGATATACTGACTCAGATCGATGATCTATTCCAGAATATTTTCTAGAATAACATGCTTGCTCCACAGACGTTTCAAAATGTTAAGCACTCCTGAATCTCCTTAATCACTATTTTTATAAAAGTATTATTCACTATTATTTATTTTTTTGAGGTATATGCACTATTTTATTTAATCCTTTAAAAACTCATTCATATTTTTATACCTCCCATGTTGAATTTATTCATTCAATTAATTATTAATTTACTGAGGTCTTACTACGTTTTAGGCAGCACTAGGAACATATAGATTAATTAGAAAGTATATTCCTCCAAGGAATTTACTGGTTTGAGGAGGAAACAGGTGAGAGAATCAATTGATATTATATAGTGTGACAAAGATATTCACCAAATATAATTGAGCAATATACCAGGTGCAGTGAGAGCACAAACGAAAGTCACCTATTTCAGGGGCCGGCCCCATGGCTTAGCAGTTAAGGGCACGCTCCGGCACTGGCGGCCCGGGTTTGGATCCCGCGCACACCAATGCACCGCTTCTCTGGCCATGCTGAAGCAGCATCCCACATACAGCAACTAGAAGGATGTGCAACTATGACATACAAATATCTACTAGTTCTTTGGGGAAAAAAAAAGGAAGAGGATTGGCAATAGTTGTTAGCTGAGAGCCGGTCTTCCTCAGCAAAAAGAGGAGGATTGGCATGGATGTTAGCTCAGGGCTGATGTTCCTCACAAAAAAAAAAAAAAAAAAAAAAAAATTCACCTATTTCATACTGGAGATCAGGAAGAGATTCCTGAAAGATAACAAAGGAAGTAAATCTTTGAGGGTGAAATAGGTGGTAGCCAGCTGGGCAAGTGGAGAATTTACCAAGAGGAGGAGGGTACACCATGAGAATGTGTACAGAAGCATGGAAAAACCCAGCACTTTGGAAAATTCCAAGTAGGCAGTCTGGAGGATCATACTGTCGACGTGAATAATCATAATCAATCTATAAATCAAAATTGGGGTGAGTTTATTATGAGCCAACTTTTGAGGACCATGGCCCAGGACCTTCCTTCCCTAAGGTAGGGCACCGAAGAAGTGGGGTGTACAGAGCGGTTTTATACCGTCAAAGAGCATGTATCACATATGATTGCAATGTCCCTTTTACAATAGCCACAAGATCGCCCTGCCAGATTGCCCTGCCAGAATAGCTATTGATGGCCTTAAAGAAATGTCAAGGTGGAGGAAGTTGCATCCTTATCTTAAGGACATTTACTCTTCTCTTTGGGACATGGCAAAGCAGATACACATTGCAGGCGACAGGCCCTTTTGGAAAAACAAACTCAGGCCAAATTAGTTTTACCCCAAATGGCTTCCTCATATGCTCCAATATATCCTATTGCTTGCCATTTATTTATCATTTTCCCTCTTTTGATCTATAATCTTTCGATAGAAAGCATTGATGATCAAAATATTGTCCCTCGGCACCAGGGTGGTTGCTGCCTGCCCTGGGTCCATCATGTCCCTCAGTGCCAGGCTTTTATTTCATTTATTTGCCCAGTTGTCCACATTGGTGGGAATTAATTGGATATAGTGGAGAAGAAAAGAGGTATATATATATTAATAGAGGAAGCATTTCATGGGTTTTGGATTAATTTTAGGTTGTTGCACAAACATTGTATATGTGCTTTTTATGACTCCTTGTGTTTACACTATTCACAATTATAGAACAAGTACAGTAACGATAATAATTTAACATCTTTGAAAAGATTAGTTTAAAATGAGTTCTTAGGCATAGTCCTTATCGGAAAAGGAAATTTGTCCAGGGTTGTAAGATCAATCAACCATCTCAAGTTTCATCACTCTAGCTTACATGCCAGTCTTACAGCACTGAGTAAAGAAAACAGCAATTAGTTTAAATATTATGACTAATACAAGAATTCCAAGAAGTAATAGAGATAGGAATTGCAATCTGGATCGAAAAAGGGAACCAATACCAGAAGGGAGCCAACCAAACAACTCAAGACCAGGTGCAGGATCTCTTAAGGCATTCACCTGCTTTTTCATGTGCTTTAGCAGAGATGACACATTGGAAGACTCGTCAGGTATAAAAACACAGCATTCAGTTTGAATGATTGTACATGTACCACCTTGGGATGTAGTTAAAATATCTAAGGCCATTCTATTTTGAAGGACAGTCTTTTTTATTAAAGACATTTTAGTATTTAATAAGGCAATTTCTGCTTGACTGTAATTACGGGCTTCTGTATGTAATATGACATCTTTTAGCCTTAAAAAAGGAACAAATATAGCTAGTTGCTCGGTGGTCATACTAGTGAACACTGAGTGAGCCCGTGTGGGCTTAAGGAGAGGAAGGTTGGCAGCAGGTGTCACTGTGAATCCTTCCCTGCATTTAAGGGAAGCTTGGGGTGTAGTTGTTTCAGCCATGTGGCCGGTAGTCAAGGCCAGAGATTTGTTCTATATAACCATTAAGTTGTATTAGGAGTCACCCGATAAATGCCTGGACTTTAAGACCAGTCTGTTCCAAATCAATCACTTTCCTTAAGTATGATAGTATTCTGAAAATCTTAAATGTAACAATTATAAAATAGGTACACAGTTTAAGCATAACAAAGGTTTAAATGAGAGGATTTAAGGTTGGGAATACAGGCGTGGTCCGGAGTCATGGGACAGCTGTCTAGAACAGATGTCATCTTCTTCTTGTTCTGGTTTGGAGATATTCGTATTGGCCAGTTGAAGTCAGGTATCAGAAATAGGAACTGAAACCCACTCAGGTGGAAAAGCCTCTTTTAAAACGAGAAATGTGAATCTATGTCTTTTGATTTTGCAGCACATGAATTGGTTAAAAGTACCTAGTATGGTCCTTTCCAATAGGGCTGTAGAGTCTTTTATTTGATGTCTCTTCTGATGAATAAATTTTCCAGGTTATAATCCTTAAGGTCTGGGAGCTCTCTGTAAAAAGAATCGGCTACCAACTTCTCATATATATATATATTTTAAGTGTCTCAATAAGGCCTTGCCAATAATTAAGATATTTTCTTTAAGCAAAGTTGATTCATACATTTCTTTATCTAATTACATAGGCTGTCCAGTTATTATCTCAAAAGGAGACAGCTGATGTTTACCAAAGGGTGTAGATCTAAGGTTGAGGAGCATTAGCAGAAGAGCTTTTGGCCATAAGAGATTAAATGCTTCTGAAAGCTTTGTCAATTGAGTTTTGATTGTGCCGTTAGTTCTTTCCACCAATCCTGAGGATTGGGGATGTTAAGCGCAGCAGAAATGCTGTCTCATTGGCCAGATATTACAAATAGACTTAATTATTTGTCCAGTGAAATGAGTTCCCTGGTTACTTTGTAACTCAGTAGGAATTCCCCAAACGGGAATTATTATCTCTAATAGTAATTTACCTACTATTAGAGCCGTTGCTCTTCTGTAAGGAAAGGCCTCAAACCAATGTGAGTCATTACATAGTCATTACAAGATATATTTATCCTTGAGATGGTGGTATTTGGACAAAGTCCAATTGCCATACCTCAAAGGGTCCCTTAGTAAAGGGAAAGTGGCCTTATGATTCATGTAGTAGTTTCCCTAGAGTATATTTTGGGCATATAACACAATGAGTATGGCTTTATGAGCCACTGTGGGAGAAGGTTTTTAAAAGCATTGCTTTTCCCACAAAATTATCTTTTCAGGTGCCCAATGGGTTAATTGGTGTATATCCTGGAACAGTGGCGATTGTGCTCCAATAGGTACTATGGGTTTCTTACTGGGCACAAACCACATCTGTGAGGGGGTGTCAACAATTCCCCCTTTTGACTGCTATATCTGTTTCTCTTCTTCCATGGTGATTTCTTTTAAGCCTGTGGAAAGAAGTCTTTTACTGGGTTAGCAGAGTTAATAGGAATTAGCAGGCATTCTCGAGGCTGGACAGCATATCCAGCTTGGTAATGTCTTGCTTATCATTTAAGTAAGACCCATCTGTAAACCAAATTAAATAGAATGCAGTTGTGGTCCTTCCTCTTGTGATGTTGGAAGCAAGATAGCAGGGTTAAAATAGTAATATTTACCTATGCAGTATAACCTAAGAAGTTTTATCATTTACTTGACAATGCTTCCTGTGCAATTTAGCATACCAAACAAGCTTAATTAGTTTAGTATTTCCCTCTTTAGAGGAAATAAATTTCTTTGAGAATTGCCAGGGCCCTTTGAAAATTCTCAAAGAAAAAAGTTATAAGAAAGCCTTTATTCAGGATATGAATTTTGGGGAGCTTGTCAAAAATATCGAAGGGTTTTAAACACTTGGTCAGACAAGATCAAGGAGTTGCTGCTCTTGTCACAGTGAAACAATGCTTAGTTAACAAACAGCATTTAAACAGTCAAAAAGACCTTAATAGAGAGACCTCAGTCTTTTATTGTATTTATTTATTTATTTATTTATTTTTCGTGAGGAAGATCAGCCCTGAGCTAACATCCATGCTGATCCTCCTCTTTTTGCTGAGGAAGACCGGCTCTGAGCTAACATCTATTGCCAATCCTCCTTTTTTTTTTCCCCCCAAAGCCCCAGTAGATAGTTGTATGTCATAGTTGCACATCCTTCTAGTTGCTGTATGTGGGACACGGCCTCAGCATGGCCAGAGAAGCGGTGCGTCGGTGCGCGCCCGGGATCCAAACCCGGGCCGCCAGTAGCGGAGCACATGCACTTAACCGCTAAGCCACGGGGCCGGCCCGAGACCTCAGTCTTTTGAACATAGGAAATTACCTTAACAAAACAGATCTCTGTCCATTAGATAAACTTAACTCAAAGGTAAAGAAAAACCTTTTTAGGTAGTAACCTCTATCAAGAGTAGATTAAAAGTAGAATAAAATTATCCTTTTAAAAGAAAGAAGACCAAATTTGAATTTTGTACCAGCTTACTTTTGATATTAAAACTCATTTACTTAACTGGATTTAGTTTAATCTTAGCCAACTTGACTGTATAAAACTCCTCAGGGTTTCTCTTCAACAAACCTTCTATAACTTTCTATTTACATTCAGAATTTGTCCCATGCCCTCCTTTTTTTTCCTTCTAGTACTTTGGGACAAATTTATCTTTCCGAACCAAACAAAAGTATTTCCATTTTTCATATCTTCTTAATGAAAACATACATCTTACTCTCCTTGAATACATACATATTTTTCTTAATTTTTAGTAGCATAATCACATATTAGAAATTTTTAACCCTTAGAAACCTTAATTTCTAAGTAAAAACTAAGCAATTATAAACTTTCTTTTACATTAGCATTTCGTGGCTTGACAAATTTATATGGACACTTTTTATAATTTCTGGAAACGTTACTTTATAGTACAATCTTTTAAATAAAACACAAGACATGTTTACCAATAGACCCAAAACACCTTGTAGTTTTTCTGTAATAAGCCAAAAGTAGATAAACCTATATTTAGCAATCAATGTCCAATATCTTATCTTGTTTGGAAATGATCTAGATACTCAATGAATTTTTATCATAAAATTTAGCAAAACTCTAAAGTTTTAAGTCACCAAAAAGAGTTTGGAAGCTATATACACTATAGCATATAACTATTGTTAAAAGTTCACTTAATACTCATCTTTTCCACATCTATTTAGTTACCTGTTCCCAATAATTATTTAGATCGCCTACACGACTTTATGAGACATTAGATAATATTAGCCATCACTTATTATTTTTGTTAACCAGTTTTGTAATAGAAATAACTTCAGTTTATTTGATGAATAAAGGTTCCACGTCTGCGTTATATCCAATGCTGAAAACTAACAAGCTTAAATAAGCTTTTATTTACCAAATATTATTTCATATCACATTAACTTGAAAAACATTTGGATTTAGAAATCTTTTGTAAGCGCTTACTTCAAGTTAATTGAATAGAGCTCTTAATTTTGACCATACCCTCTGGAGGTAAAATACTACACACACATAACATACATGTAGACACACACACATAAAGGACAGATGCAACAAAGATTTTATAGCCACTGTTTTGAAAATTTAGCAGTTTCCGTCTGCAAAAAGCTTCTTTCCCATTTTTTTTTCTTTCAGTCTTAGACCCCCTGCTGTTTAAGCACTTGCACAAGTCTCCGGAGTTCAGAGGCCAGGCCGCCTAGCCGGGAACTGGTTGAGCAAGCTCGATTTCCCACTTTTCTTTTAGTTTTATTTTGCTATAAAGTCTGAACAATTTCTAGGGACTGTTTAGTGGGTCAAAAGTGTGCTGCTTGTGAGTGTTACTCTCTAAAGAAAGGTTGTAATCACTCTCTTACGTGCCTCGGTTTCTCCCGCTCGCAGCCTAGGTACCACCGGGGTGGGGGGTTCGGTTTGGAGCGTGGGTGACCAACCCTCATGTGCGCATCCCCGGAGGAACCTGTCATTAATTAACGTGAATGATAGTGGAGCTCCCTATAGGAAGGACCACTACACATCATGAGGCTCGCCTCTGACACCCCTGCTGAGATTCTCAGTTGCCTGAGAATGCCCGAAAGGCCGGGAGGAGCGATGTCCCTTTTCTTCGGAGCTGAACAGATTCAGTCTCTCATTTCTCTATCAAGCAGTTTTGTTCAAACCTTATAAACACAATTCTTTCCAATTTTAAGCCAAATTAAAAAGGTCAGCCTGCCGCATTCACTCCAAAAGTTCCCCCTAGGACCCCCTGGCCTAGGACATTCCCCCTAGGTTTCTCTTTCCTAGGAAATCCCCCCTAGGTTCCTCTGACCTAGGGTATGTACCGGTACCCCCTTAAGACACCTAGTTTTAAGCCTTGAAATAAACTCTGGACTGTTGACTTAAGGAGGTCTGGGTTTCAGGAGAACTCACCAGGGTCACCTGAAGAATGCAGTGATCTGGGGGGCTTAATAGGCCCCTATTGGTACCGAATGCTGGTTCAGTGTAGATTACAGGTGGTCTCTGGTGGGTTTCTCTGAAATCCTGCCGCAACTACGCCAAGAAATGTCAACGTAAAGAATCCATAATCAACCTATAAATTAAAATTGGGGTGAGTTTATTATGAGCCAACTTTTGAGGACCATGGCCCGGGACCTTCCTTCCCTAGGGAAGGAAGGGCACCGAAGAAGTGGGGTGTACAGAGCAGTTATATACCGTCAAAGAGCATGTATCACATATGATCGCAATGTCCCTTTTACAATAGCCACAAGATCGCCCTGCCACATTGCCCTGCCAGAATAGCTATTGATGGACACAGTGGGGAGAAGGTCTGCTGTCTCGATGGGCGTGGCTGGTGTCAGGTCTGTTGTCTTGAGCTGGGTGGTCACAGGATGAGTGCAGCAGTCAAATCCTAGCCTAGGGAGAAATGCTTATCCTTAAGGAAATGTCAATGTGGAGGAACTTGCATCCTTATCTTAAGGGCATTTACTCTTCTCTTTGGGACATGACAAAGCAGATACACCTTGCAGGCGACAGGCCCTTTTAGAAAAACAAACTCAGGCCGAATTAGTTTTACCCCAAATGGCTTCCTCATATGCTCCAATATATCCTATTGCTTGCCATTTATTTATCAATACTATGATATATTGTATTCCTATTGCCAAAAGTATCAGGGAACAGACCCAGTATTAAGTAAAATGATCTCATTTATGAATGTACTTGCCATTAATATACCATAAATTTTGCTAGGAGACCATTGGCTCAATTTGCTCAGCCACAAGAAAGAACTTATACAAGTGATTTTAAGAAGATGTGTCTTTTGACCTTATATCACCATTTTCTCCACTCTGCAGTTGTAGTGTATACTTATTCAGCAAAGGAAACAAAATTACTTGAGTAAGTTATATTATGCTCTATTAGAACAACTTAATTTGTAGAGTAATCAAGGGAAAACATGGTAATTTAAATGAATGGTACTATCCAATATTCTTCCCCCCTGAGAAAATTCTACTAGATTGTGGTTCTGGGTCAAACCCTGAACCAAAAGAATACATTTCTTTTTTTTTTTCTAATTTTTAAATTTTAGATTAGTTTTAGATTTAAGAAAAGTTGCAAAGATAGTACAGAGTTCCCATATACCCCACACCCAATTTCCTTTATTGTTATGTTACATTACTGTGGTACATTTGTCACAACTAATAAACCAATATTGGTACATTGTTATTAACCCAAATCAATACTTTATTAATATTTCTTTAATTTTTACTTAACGTCCATTGTATGTTCCAGGATCCATCCAGGATGCATTACATTTACACATCAGGTCTCCTTAGACTCCTCTATGACAGTTTCTCAGACTTTCCTTGTTTTTGATGATCTTGGCAGGTTTGATATGGTCAGGTATTTTGTAAGATATTCCTGAACTAGAGTCTGTCTGATGTTTTTCTCATGATTACATAGGGTTATGGTTTTTGGGAGGAAGACCACAGAGGTAAAGTGCCCTTCTCATCACATCATATCAAGGGTACATACTACCAACATGACTTCACTGTTGATGTTAATCTTGATCACCCAACTGAGGTAGTATTTGTCCTGATTTCTCTGCTGTAAAGTTATTTTTCCCCCTTTCCATACTGTTCTCTTTGGAAGGAAGTCATCCTACTTAGCCTACACTTAAGGAGTGGGGAGTTATGTTCCACCTCCTTGAGGGCAAGGTATCTACATAAATTGTTTGGAATTGTCCTATATGGGAGATTTGTCTATTCTACCCCACTTATTAATTTATTCAATCATTTATTTATATCAGTATGGATTCATGGGTATTTTTTATACTTTATGATATAATCCAATACTAGATTATTGATTTTATTGCTCAAATTGTTCCTGCTTTGGCCATTGGGGCCACTTTCAGTTAGCTCCTGTGACCCTTTGACATACCCCCAACAGTTTGCTTTTTGAGCACTTCCTTACTTTCTGTCACTACAAGAATGCACTTTTTGTATAATATAATTGGGAAAATGATATAACCTTTTTTTTTTTTTTTTGATAAGATTAGCTTTGAGCTAACATCTGTTACCAATCCTCCTCTTTTTGCTGAGGAAGATTGGCTCTGGGCTAACATCCGTGCCCATTTTCCTCTACTTTATATGTGAGACACCTGCCACAGCATGGCTTGATAAGCAATGCATAGGTCTGTACCCAGGATCTGAGCCTGAGAACCCCAGGCCACTGAAGTGGAGTGCGCAAACTTAACCACTATGCCACCTGGCCGGCCCCGATATAACCTTTTAATATGATAAATAAATGAAAAGCAATAGGATATATTGGAGTATGTGAGAAAGTCATTCAGGTTAAAACTAATTTGGCCTGACTTTGTTTTTCCAAAAGGACCTGACGTGGCCTGTTGAGCATGCATTGTATATCTGCTTTAAATATTTACTATGTCTCGAAAACAAGAGCAATGCCCTTAAAGATAAGGATGTAACTTCCCCCACATCGGCATTTTTTAAAGATAAGCATCTCTGCCTAAACTAAGGATTAATTGCTCACCTGCTGCGATCACCTTATGACCACCCACATTGTGACCACCAACCTGCTGTGTTCACTGAATTGCTGTGTGGGCAAAGCAATCTCATGACTATTATAAAAGGGACATTCCTATCATATGTGATGTATGCTCTCTGTTCCAAGATGGTATATAACCACTCTGTACACCCCACTTCTTTGGTGCCCTTCCTTCCTTGAGAAAGGAAGGCCCTGGGCTAGTCCTCAGATCTCACTCACCCCAATTTTGATTTATAGATTGATTATGGATTATTTTCATTGACAAATATAATTTTAAAAGCAAGATATGCTAAATTGATCAATATTAGTACACATTCATTAGTAACAAAGGCTTTGTATCTTGAGTTGTTTTGAGTTCAATTTCCTATTCACATGTTACTTGTAGCTTGGTTTAGAAGTTAACCAATGATTTTTTTGTAACCTTGCATGTTATAAGTAGAATGAGAGAGTCAATGAATTTAGAATTACATGCTTTTTATTTAAGGAGGAAACTGGGGTACTTGTGCTGATAACTAGGAATTATATTATCAAAGGACTATTAATTCAACAAACTTAAATGCTAAAAGAAACAAATTTATATGTTAGAAGAAGGAAATGAAAAAGAAGCAAGCTACCTTCAATTTACTTTTGAACTAGAGTAATCTGCAGATTAAAAGATACTAGGTTCATTTTAATAGATGATAAATCCCCAATATCACAAGGATTAGGGAAGGAAAAAGACCTAAGAAGTAATACCAATTCTTAATTCTCTGATTTTCAAAAGGCATTTCCACAGGTAAATTAGGCCAAATGGCAGGCAATTGTGCAAACAGTTACATGATTAGGAGGAAGTTGTAGTTCTCACATTTCTGGTTCTCTTACAAGTATTTATATTAGGAAAGATAATAATTTCTAATTTTGTTCTTCTAGTTGTTCAAATTTATCCTTTTTTAAAGTAATAGGCCGCAATCCCAAAATGTATTGCACAAAAGCTTATTTATGAACATACACCTGGCTGGTACATCCAGTACCTTCTTCATGAAATTCAGTGTGGTGGACCCCTAACACTTAGTTAACTTCTCTGTGAGACAAGAACAGAGCAAAACTTCTACAGATGAGAAAACAGAATCAACAACAGCATCAGGACATAAACTGGAGTCCCTGCTTTTCATTTCATTTGCTCTGTCTTCCAGAAATACACTGTATGACATAAGAACTTTTATAAGCAGAATGCCCCCATATTTAGTTATTATCAATCCTAATTTAATACATAAATGACCTCTTCAAGTACTTATTACTTAGACTTTATGTGTGGGTGGGAGTGGAGGGGAGAAAGCAGGAGTAGGGGGAGACAAATCAAATCATATTTATAGGCTACACTATAACAGTTGGCAGCTAGTTATCATATTTCCTAAGGTAAAGTCTTGTTGGATCCTAATATGGGAACTAAGAGATCAAAAAGACAGGACAGCTCATTTAAAATCCCAAGTTTTTCAACCAACTCGAACCTACTGGCAGATGCTAGATTATTAGAACGACCCATGAGCCTAGAAAGTTGACGGTAGTTTCTTCACTGAGAAAATAAAGATGTGTTGCTTAGGGGAAAAGAGTAAAAGTGACGTGGTCTTAGATACACTAGTGAAACAAAATGTTTAAGTATCTACATATCTTATCTTAGATGCATACAACTGTTATAAGACCATTTTTTTCTCTTACTTCTCAGGAAACATACATTTAGTTAGAATATTAAAAACAAACAAAAGATTGGGCTTCTAATAGAAAACCAAATGCTATCAGAAGCAGAGTTACATGGAATCACCCATTTCTTATACAGATATTGACTTATGCTCCCCACCATAATATTTGGTAAATGACAGTCAACATTTATTAAGCACCTACCACAGGTCAAGAACTCTGCTAAGGACATACAAAGATGACTGAATGGGTACCTGAGCTCACAGTCCAGGGATTGCTTTAAGGAAAACGTGATAAGTCATTAGAGGAAGGAAGGTAAGCCAATATGAATGAAAAGCTGGGATTTCACTGTAGGGAAAAGAGGAAAGAGGATTAATGCTTTAGAAAGACAAAAAATAGATTTCTAAGCAATGTGAAGCTGAGAGTTGTTCAATCTCATCAGATTCTGAAGGCATCTCTAAATCCAGCTTCCCAAAGAAAACTAGGGCAATGACAATGGAACAGCTAAAAATAGGTGATAATCATAGCAAAGAAAACAACAGCCAGCATAAACCTGGCCATTGTTATTGTCGAAGTGGTGGAACTTTTGCTTTCAATTACTCTTGTCATCATAGGCTTCCTGATACGATCTTTTGTGGTGAGGATAGCTTTTCGAGCTCCATCCCACTTTCCTGGGCCCTGTAGACGATACTGGATTGGAGTACATGGTCCCACGAATAACTGTAATGCCAGTTTGGGGTCAGTGAAGGCCAGAGACAGCAGATTAGGCCTGACGCCCACCAGATCAGCAAGCTCTTCCATCGTATCTATATAGTCTCCTTGAATGGTATGACGTTGGCTCTCCACATACCTGAAGCAGAGAAGACAGAAGCCATGGCCTATCAACAATTCAATCAATTAATCAATGCTTTATTTTTTTTTGCTGAGGAAGACCAGCTCTGAGCTAACATCTATTGCCAATCCTCCTCCTTTTTTTTTTCCCCAAAGCCCCAGTAGCTAGTTGTATGTCATAGTTGCACATCCTTCTAGTTGCTGTATGTGGGATGCTGCCCCAGCATGGCTGGACAAGTGGTGCATCAGTGCGCGCCCGGGATCTGAACCCAGGCTGCCAGTAGCAGAGCACGTGCACTTAACTGCTAAGCCACGGGGCCAGCCCCTTATCAATGCTTTCTGAGTGCCTGTTATTGGCTCAGTATTGGGCTAGGAGCTGTGGAAAATAGAGAAGAAAGAAAAGACATTGTCTCTATCCTTAAGGACCTTATAATCTACTAGAGTAGATAAGATAGATACACATGAAGCAGAGAAAAATATAAGACTTGGTAAATCATGTGGTTTTAGACTGCTAAATAGAAATGTAGAAAAGGGTAGTTAAAACAGAGCTATAATAAATCCTTGAAGGATGTCAAAGATATAGATAAGCAGAGAACAAAGAGGAAAGTATTACAAGTCAGGGGAATAGCAGAGTGAAAGAACAAAGCAGGAATGAGTGTAGAATATGAACATAGAATATCTGTGGGTACTACCTACAGTAGAGAAGGCATGTTGTGGAAAACAAGGCTGGATATAGAGAGGCAAATAGAGCAGGTCTGATACAGAGGACTCTGATGTTATCAGAAAGAGAGAACCCACCACAAAAATTCTCAAGTTTGGGATCCTCAGTTGTTTTCTGAGGGCAGTGGTGGTGGGGTCCCCAGAGCAGGACTTCCCAGGGCCAATGTTAACTGGGAATCCTGAAAGGAGCAGGGAGGATGACTCATCCCACAAGAGGAAGTGGCCCTCCAAACAGAGCCAGATGGAATGATTACACCAAGTGCAGACTTGAAGAGCTAAAAGGACTTTTTAAAGGGAAAATGTGCTAACAGTGACACCTGTGGAAGGAGCGGGATTTAGAGAGCTAACTGGTGACTTTCTCTTTTTACTTTCTATAATGAAAATAAAGAACAATGGGACAGAAAGGAAGTAAGAGAATAGCCAAGTCAGGCTACTTGAGATTAGAGGTGCTTACTAGAGAAATCCAAAAACAAGGACAGGAAAAAATGATAGAAAATAAATTTGAGGTAGAATTGATGAGATGGAATTCCACAGGAACAGATAGCTGGTCAAATAGGAATTTATTGAAATGAGACTAAAGTTTAGAAGAGAAGAAGATAAGACAGGAAAACATTTGAGAGCTTTTCCGCAAGACAGGAAATTATTTGAGAGCTTTTCCGCATGGATGTTTTGTTGGCTCAACGGTTTGTAGGCATGCATTTATCCTATAGTAGAAGGTCAAGATCTATAGCATTCATGCAAGTTTCACAAAAGAGATTCACTAATATCTGCCTGGTGGGGTTGTTAGGAGGATTAAATAAACTCATACATATAAAACAGTGTGTGTACATAATTAACTCTCAATAAAGTTTAAATTATATCCTTGGGGACTGCTCATGATCAGAAGGTAGTTAGACAAAAATAAGTCAAAGGAAAGAGAGGAGGGAAGTTGAAATAGAATAGTTTAGTGCCAGAAAAGCAAGAAAAGAAAGCACTCCAAGAAGGAAGAGATGTGTAAAAGCACCGAACTCAGTGCTGAGAAGAAGGAAAATTAAGTTGGTCACGGATGATCTTCAAGAGAGCAGTTGCAGAAATAAGGATGGAAGTTACAATGCAGGGGGCTTAGGAGGGAGAAAAGGGTGAGAATTTAGAGCATATACTATAGAATATTCATTGTAGAAGTTTGGCAGTGAAAGAAAGGAGGAAAATAGGAGAGCACCTGGCAAGGGTATCAGAGTTAAATAAAAACTCTCCTCTCAGATAGGGAAGAGTTATGCTAGTATAGGCAATTGCAGAAAACCACCTCTTTGGACTTGGAATGATTGTGCCTCTGATTTTTCCACAAAAATTTAGGAATATACCATCAACTTGCATTTTGTCCAAATAAAAAATCACCCAGTAAATAAGCTCAAGTTCTGAAATTCGGACTTCTAAATTACTGTGTTCACCCAAGCACTAAGCCACTGGCTGATGTTACCACCTTCCCAAATCACAGAGACTATTCATACCATGAGCCGCTGTGACCTGAGTGTGCTGTCATATGATGACAGCCAGCCAAGTGGCCTCTGTAGATTTGTAAATCTACCTACAGATTTGTAATTCGACCCTATCTACTGTGCTTTAATTCATTGTCGCTTTTCCTTTCCCTGGCAGCTCTGCTAGCACTTCAACTAATCCTTTCAAAAACAATATACCTGATTTTCTCTCCAGATGCTTTTTCCTACTTGACTTCTCTTTTAGGCCCTAAACATAAGATTTTAAATTCTTTTTTTTTTTTTTGAGGAAGATCAGCCCTGAGCTAACATCCATGCTAATCCTCCTCTTTTTTGCTGAGGAAGACTGGCTCTGAGCTAACATCTATTGCCAATCCTCCTCATTTTTTTTTTTTTCTCCCAAGGCCCCAGTAGATAGTTGTATGTCATAGTTGCACATCCTTCTAGTTGCTGTATGTGGGATGCAGCCTCAGCATGGCCGGAGAAGCGGTGCGCTGGTGCACGCCTGGGATCCGAACCCAGGCCGCCAGTAGCGGAGCACGCGCACTCAACCACCAAGCCACGGGGCCGGCCCCTTTAAATTCTTTTCTTAGGTTTTTCTCTCCTTTCCCATCCATATTCAAACCACTTAGTGCTATTTCTTCATTCTATTGTCACAAAGTATTATTTCCTTTTTCTTCAAAATATAATCTAAATCCTTAACCTAACATGAGGAAGGTAAATACGGTACAATATTGCTCTTATTAAGAACTAAATAAGTAGAAAAATTAACCACATTATCTTCCTGGGAGAATTTCTTACCTTTTTGCCATTTCCTCTTGAGCCTTAGCTATATCTGTTGTCATTTCACTTTGTGAGGGCAATGTCTTTAGCCCTAAAGAGAAAAATCAAAATTTTAAGTGTAAAATTACCTCAGTAGGAACAATAATCCTATTAACAATTACTATGCTATGGAGAATTCAGAGAAATACAGGCTTGTTTTCTGTACTCAAGGAGGTTATGCCTTCACTAGATCACATTCACCCTACCACCACCACGATATAATGATATTAACATCAGTAGCTTACTCTGTTCTACTTTGTCTTTAGAAGATATTTCTCCTACTCTGCCTTCCAGCCAATAACTGCTTCCTTTCTAACATAGTCTTTCACTTGGGAAATGAAATATAGACATGAAGAAATGATAAATGGCCTTAAAAGTGTATGGAAAATGAGGTACAAAGTAAAAGGGCAGGGGCGAGGGTGGGAAACACACCCACACTCGTACTCTTAATAACAAAGAGGATTTATATCGCAGGAGAAGGAAGTAAAAATCAATTCTCAATCCCATTTGCCTCAAGTCCTACGGAAGATAAGACTCACCTTCTAAACTTTTTTATGTGGTGCGAGTGGGGGGTAAGGTCAAGAGCAACTCATAATACCCAATCTTGACAGATAAATTTAAGCACTAATGCACAAACACAGTTCCAGCAGTAGGAATTTAACACCAAGGACATGGCTAGACAAAGGTAGAATAGTATTTAAGTTGACGTAACTCTAAGCTTAAATGATTATCTTTATGCCCAGATTTACAGGCGCCACGCCATGTAGAAAATTTTAGCCACACCCAACTCTAAGATGTTACTCCATAAAATTCTGGAATGTATAATTTTACAATGGGAATATATCTTACCTAACATAAGCCTTCTCTCTATAAATACTCTAATCAAATGGTTATCTCATTCTTCCTTAAGCATCTCTGGTGATGAGGATCTCATTACCTTCTAAGGAGATGATTTGATTATTCAGCTGCTCTAGTTGCTGGAACATTATTCTTTCTCCTGACCCCAAAATTTGCCTCCATGCAACTTGCACCATTGGACTTAGCTCTGCCTTCTGGAGCCAAGGGGTCTAATCTTAACAAATGACAGCCCTTGTAACATTTGAAAACAACTGTCATAACTTCTTTAAGTCTTATTATTAGCCTAAACACTACTAGTTCCCCATATAACAGGTTTCACATTCTCTGCCATGTTGGTTGCCCTTCTCTGGACACACTCTAGTCACTATTCTAGGGTGTCCCTCTTAAAATTTGAGAGACATATTTCCCTCCCACTGGATCAGGGGGCCAACCCAGTGATGCAGTGGTCAAGTTTGCATGCTCTGCTTCGGCGGCTCAGGGTTCATGGGTTTGGATTGCAGGTGCAGACCTACACACCGCTCATTAAACCATGCTGTGACAGTGTCCCACATACAAAATAGAGGAAGATTGGCACAGATGTTGGCTCAGAGACAATCTTCCTCAAGCCAAAAGAGTAAGATTGGCAACAGATGTTAGCTCAGAGCCAATCTTCCTCACCCCCCCCCCCCAAAAAAAGACTCAGAAATTCAACACTCAATAAATAGCCTTATATGTTTTCTCCTTTTAGCCTTGGAAATTATTGCTTATATTCATAAGTCAATGAGGAAACACTGAAATGCTTCATTTGAGATTAGTCACAGGTCTCTTAAGATGCTCATAGAACACATTTTGAGAGTTGATTTCCAAATTATTTCTCATAGCACAACCGTAACTTTTACTTCTATTAATGAGAAACATTATGGAGGAGGAGGTCTATTTCTTGCCTGTGAGAGGCAGCCAATTCATTAAAAAAAGACAAACAAAAACCCTACTATAGATTAGATAGATAGATAGATAGGAATGTAGGAAGATACATATAATATCCTATGGTGCAGTTGTTTCTTAATTCATTAATACTGTTCTTGCAGTGTTTCCTTGTTCAGACACATTGTTTTTTACCATATTTCTTATCTCCCTCCTTCCTATCTTGCCCTCCCTCCTTATATTACCAATTTAAATCAATGGCCACAGCACCTGAGCAGATTATTTTCTTGCTTTCATTTCCAGCACACATTCCATCACCAAATCTCAAATTCACCAATGAAATTTCATTCAAATATGTCTCCTCCTATTCTTTTACGTAGGTTTAAAGCCCTCATCGTCTTACTTGGACTTTTGCCACAGGCTTTTAAGCGACCTACTTCCTATTTCTCTCCCCTCTAACACATCTTCTGAATTACAAATCTGATTTGACTTCCCCTCACACAAGTAAAATCCTTCAATGTTTCTCTATTGCCTGCATTGAATGCAAACTTCTTGCATGGCACCAAAGGGTTTTTCTTGTTTTTGCCTCTATAAATATCTCTAGCTTCATTTTCCTTAATTCCTATGACACTTTATCTTCCAGAATTCTGAACTACTTGCAGTTCTCAGAACTTGGTTTATTCTGTCATTTTTCTCTAACTTTGTATAAATATTACTGTTTCTCTGTTATGGTCAAGATTTCCTGGTCCTTTTAGTAAACTTTTACTCATCCTTTACAATGGATTTGTAGTTGTAGGAAGAATTGGGTACTTATTCCTCACTGCTCCCATAACAACTCCTCTACATTCCTATTAGAGCACTTGTTTAGAATATAGTAAATATCTGCTGAGTGAATGAACACATTAAGTGTCTGTTTACTTGTCTATCTTCCTTGCTTGACTCAGTTCCATAAAGATAGGAATTTTCTGTTTGGTCATATTTGCATCTCCAGTACCTAGCAGAGAGCCTGGCACATACTAAAAGGTCAGTAAATGTTAGCTGAAGAATGTCATTGAAGAACAGTGAGGAACTGAAGTTCAGAGATTTTCCAAGGGTCTCAAGACAACATGGGAAAGAAGTGAGCCTGAATTACAATTCTATGGAACTAGGTCTTTCAGTCTGCTCTCAGGCCTAAGGCAGTTTGTATTTATGTAATCCTGACTTGTCCCTGCACTGTAAGTGTAAAGATAATGTTACAGGAGAAAAGAGATGTGGCTGCCATCCTGCTCTTTTAGTCCAGTCCAGCCTTTTAACATGCCCGGAAATTGGCTGAGGTCATCATAAACTGAGATCCTCAGATAACAAGTTTCTACTGTAGAGTTTAGAACTTCGTTTACCTCCAAAGCTAAACTGGTGTTCGTTTGAATTACCTCCTCTGTGCTAGGAACTGGTCTAGGCTTGAAATACAAAGACAAATAAACAGGATTATTTTATTTAAAGAGCTTTCAGTTACTACTAAGGGAGAGAGGAGATATACCTAGGCTTTTCTATCCAAGTGAGGAGTAAAGGGAGGGCATACCAAGCAGAGAGGACAGCGGAAGCAAAGGCACAGGGTACAAGAGTTCCTGCTGTGTTTGCTGCTTAGTTCGTTTGTCATTTAGGCATTTAGAAGATTGTAGAATGTATGATCAAGACTAGTGGAAGATGGGCCTGAAAAAGCAGGCTGTATCCAGTTTGTGGAGAAACTTGAATGCCATGCTATGACATAATATCTTCTTGTGATCCAGATAATTGGTATAATTTCACATGGTTTTCAAGGAAAGAAAGCTGCTGAGTGGAAGCAGAGCACTTGCAATGGCTTTGAGAGGGCTGCAAAAGAGGCAAAGAAAAAAGAAAACTAGATGTCAGTCAAGGCAAGGAAGTGGGTTCAGTGTCTAGAAAAGGGTGGAATATTTTTTTGACAAGAGAACAGTAATTCCAGAGAACACAGGAAGAAGGAAAATGGGGCTTGGTAGAGAAAGGACAGGCCAGGGAACTGGACTGAGTTGTGCAGGCATGAAAGAATGGGAGAAACTAGCTAACCTTAAGAGTTTAAAATTGGCAAAGTGAAGGCAGAATTCAAGGATGAGAAAAGCAAGAATTTCATAGGTAGACAGGAGGGCTATAGGTAGAACAAAAACCTCAGGGTTCCTGTTGGAAGTTTGATAAAGTTATAGGGATTCTTCTGATAAGTCCTTCCTTCTAGTGTTAGAAGAAAGCTGGAGGAATTAGCACTAGGCTTCTGCTAGTATAGGAAGCTGGGCTTTCTGTGCATTTCCCCTAAAATCCCCTAATCCCATAGCTGTAATGCAGACTTATTCAAATACTTATTTTTCCTGTTCCTCTCAACAGTTCACTTAGTCCTGGTAAAGTCTCAGTTGTTTAAAGTATAGTACTAAGATGCTGTGGCTTATTTTAATGCAACTTTTTCCCCTTACTTAATTAACCTAATTAAAAGATCAATTTACTATGACTGGAATTAATCCAACTTAATGGGTTACTTGCATTTGATTGCTGGTCTAGTGCTCTCAAGGAGTACATGATCTACTGGATAGAAATAAAAGGAATTAAGAAATAATACAATTTTGGGGAAATTTGGAAAGGTTTTTGATCTATCAACTCTTAACACCATTGCTTCATTTTTCTCTGCTACCATGAGGACCTTTACTAGGGAGGAGGAAGCTATAATTCCAACAAGAACTCTGAATACTTTTAATTAAACATTAGTAATACTAGCAAATTTTATTATAACAACCATAGAATCAAAGAATTTCTTCATTAGAAGGAACCTTAAAGGTCATCTGATTTCTCCCTGTTCTGAGGCTTAAATCTACTCCATGTTGCCTTGGCCAAATGGCCATCCAGCCATTTTCATCCTTTTCCTGTTCTGCTTGGATTCCTTACAAGTTCAGAGGCAGCCCATTTCATCCTGAAATGGCACCAGCTGATAGAAAAAAAGTTTGTTTTTAATGTTAAGCCGATATAACGCTAAGCTGCAACCCTCAAAGTTTCACTCCTTGGTTCTGGTTCAACCCTTTGAAATGATAGAGAGCAAATCAAATCCTTCTGTCATGGGACATCTCTTCAAATATTTGAATAGAACGTTCATATTCCCTGAATCTTATCTTCTCCAGGCTAAACCTCTCCACCTCCTTCAGTTGTATTTCAAATGGCACGTTTTCAAATGTCTTAACCATTCTTGTCTCTCTCCTTTTAAAGCACTCCAGTTTCACGTTTACAATATGTCTTCGGGTGTGGTCTGACCAGTTTAGAGAAGAACAACTGTAAGTTCTAGGGCATTATAATTTTTTTAATGAGGCTAGATATAATTAAGCCTTTTGGAAGCCATATCATTCTGCTGATTCATATTGAGCCTACTATTCCAAACCCTAAAGTTTTTTCTTATGTTCTCCTAGCCAAACCTAAAAGAAGGAATATAAAGGAGGGAAAGTAAGAATTTGAGAGGTTGAATCTTCTACATTCTGAACTAGTCTTTAACCAGGTCTTAATTTGTGGCTGAAATCAAATCACACAATTTCTATATTTGACTTTCTTTGTCTATAATGAAAGAAGATGAAATTCTTTTACTTCATAAATATATATCAGTTGTCTAAAATCTAGATGAGTGGATTCTAATCTGGAGTGCACACTGAAATCAGCTGGGGAACTGTTTTCTCAAAGATTTTATGGCTGTCCCACCCCAGATTTATTGAATAAACACCACCAGGCAAATCATGCCTACTTGGGGAAGATTTCTCAGGAAATTCTAATATACGTCCATGGTTATAAATTACTACTTTATATTCACTTAAAAATTAATTTTTTGAGCACTAATTTTGTGCCAGGCACTTTTGCAATCATACATACTATCTCAGCTATTTAAAAGCAAGGACATAAACATAATCAAACATACCACCAAGTAATTAAGCAATTAACTTGCATGGTCACTTACCTTTAAATACTTGAGTGGCCCAGCGTCCTTGGAGCTCTGAGATGGGCATAATGGCACCCAAGGGTTGGATCAAGCCTATGAATGCAAGAGTTGGCTTTTCCAGGTTAGGAGGGAAGACCTTTTTATACAGGGATATCTTGTTTTTGACTACTTTGACAGACTCTTCAAGAAAAGGAAAGGCAAAGCTATAGCCTGTGGCAAAGATAACAGCATCAATGTCATCCTCCCTGGAGCCATCTTCAAATATGGCAGCTGTTTCTGTGAATTCCTTCACATTTCCTTTCACCTTCACCAAGCCAGAAATTATACGATTTGGCAGGTCATCATTTACTGTTGGATGCTGATTCAGAGGTCTGTGAGTGGTAATCAAGACCAAAAGAAGAAGAAATGAGAGAGAGAGAGAGAAAGAGAGGAATCAGTAATATGTAAGTAAACAAGTGGATAAACAATATGCCAATGGCTCCCTCTTGGTCTATCCATGAAATTTAGGAAAGGTCTAATGTATACCAGCTTGGCACCAATCAGGGTCTCAGAGTAGAAGTTGGAACCCAGATGGCACTGAAGGGGAAGATGGAGAAGTGAAGGAAAAATGGTCTTATTTGAAGAATGCATGCATGGTTTCTCAAGGAATAGTAATGTTCTCAGTGATATGATAAGGCCACAGGACAATGGTTTCCATCCATATATCAAGAAGTCTACAGAACTGGACTATCAGCATTCTGTTGAGTCTCATTTCCACTTTCAAAGGCCCAAGAGCTAGACTTAGACCGTGATTTTCCAAACTGTATAATAAATTACATGTGTATAGTAATTTACAGTTATAAATTGATTTTATATACATTAACTTGAGTCTCACACAAACCCAGTGAAGGAAGCAGGACAAGTGTCATCATCCAGGTTTTAGAGATGAGGAAATTGAGGTCTAAAGAAGTTAAGTGGCTTGCCCAAGGTTACACAGCCTAGGATTTTAGAATTTATATCAAAATGGTTTTCTATGAACTCTTTTGGGATCCTCTGGGCCTGTTAAGTAGTATTTCCTAGAGACAGCAGAGGATAAGGGTGCCAAAAAAATAAGGCAGGGTTTCCAGCATCTTGGACCTTTCTAAAAAGCAGTCTGAATGCTTGGATCCTAAGTTAACAGGCTCTGAGAATCCTCAGCTGATCATGTTCAGACCAAGCTGGCCTAGACTCAGCAACATGATATGTTTAAACAACTATTGCTGGTTTGCTGCGTTTAGTTATGCTTTGACTCTAACCTTTAGGTACAGATTCTGTCCTCATTCTGACCTCATGATTTCATCTTTTGCCTCAAGTTTACTCCTTTTCACTAACAGTACCACCATCCACATAGTTGCCCAAGCCACAAAACTGTGAGTCACATCTGTCCACCATTTTCCCTTTCTCCTCTAACATCCTCAGAATAATTTTATCTATTCTCCATCTCACCTGTACTATTACGATTGTCTTTAGGGCCTCCTGCTGCATCCCCCTTCAATCTATCTTCTACATCATTTTTAGAGTGGTTGTTCCAAAATGTATTTATTATTATGTCATTCTCTTGCTTAAAATCTTTCAATGGCTCTGGACTGTCTTCATTCCAAACCATTTTTATTTAGCAGAGCATACAAAGGTTTTCATGTACCTGCGCAATGAACCTGGAGATGTACTCAATCACTCTTCCGTCTTTGCCAAATAGTCCAGCCAAACCAGACTATGTGCAAGTCCCAGAGCATAATGTAATTTCTGCTATTCCAAGACCTTGTATTTATAATTAGAATGCTACTTCCTTACCCTATTTGTTTGACTATCTTCTATTATTCCATAAAGCCTCAATTTATTTTATAATCACCAAATTTATGTATGCTACAATTTCCATAATTGGGTGAGATAAATTGGTGAAATGTTGTTGGGGGACACACTCCTACAGTATCACCCCACTGACTAATTTCAAAGGAAAAAAATATCTTTACAAAGGAGAAACCTGGTAGTTACCACCTTATCTAAGTGATCAAATTTAGCATCATTAACATGGGATAAACTGATATCATTGGCTCCTGATGTGGTCCACCAGGAAGGGACAACATAACCTATGAGTATTTGTGCTAAAAATGTTTAACCTGAATATAATAAAGGAAGAACAACTATGCAAGTCCAAATTTAGAGACTTTCTGCAAAACAATTGGCTTGGATTCTTCAAAAAAGATGTTCATGTCAAGAAAAATGGAGAATTATTTCAGATTAAGAGGGATTAAAGAGACGTGACAACTAAATGCAATCAATGGTGTAATACCTGACAGGATCTTGGATTTAAAAATAAAAAAGCTATAAAGAATATCATTGGGACAACTTGGGAAATTTGAATATGCAATATATTAGATAAGGATATTTTTTCAATGTTAAATTTCCCAAGTGTGGTAACCGTATTATGTTTATGTAGGAGAAAGCCCTTTTCTTAGGCAGTATATCCTGCAGAATCATGGGTAAAGTGTCTTAATGACTGCAAGTTACTCTCAAATGGTTCAGAAAAAATCAAGCATGTATGCATGTTTGTATGTATATATACTATATATGTATGGATCTATCTATCTCCAGAGATAGTGAGAGAGAGAAAGCAAACAGTAAACTGTTAATAGGTGAATCTAAGGGAAGGGTATATGAGTGCTCATTGCATTTACTATTTTGTAGTAAGTAAATCTGAACATTTAAAAAAATAAAAAGTTGGAGGGGAAAAAGGCATTTAAAATCAGCCTCTAGAAATGCTTTCACATTCTATCTCCTTGGCTGGGCGAGGACTCTCATCCTTCATACACTCATAGCACTCTATGCATTTCTTTATCATATTCTATTGTTTGTCTTCTCATTAGAGTATTTAAGGTCAGATCCATTTTTTGAGTCTGCCATTTATTACCTGTGTGATCTTGGGCAAATTAGTTTCTCCAAGTGTCAATTTATTTTTATACCTGAAAAATGGAGATAAAGCACCAACCTATTGGCTGTTGCGAGAATTAAATGAGATACTGCATGTAACTCATTTAGCAGTATGCTTGTCTTGTGTTAAGTCCTCAAAAACGGAAGGTGTTACTATTTGTATTATTATTACTATTAGGTCTTTATTCTCTGTATTCTCATGTCCAGTAGAATGCTTGGCTCATAAGAGGTGCTCAATGTTTGTTAGATGAGTGAATGAATGATGCATTGCTTTCTACTACCATTTTGTTGTTGTTGCTGGGCATCATGTAAAAATAACCAGTACCTTGGGGAATGATAAAATGGCTAATGTTAAGGAGAATCATAGACTAAAGATTACAGACCAGTAGATCTTGGACTTCTGGGGGGTCAAGGTAGAACTCTGATCTCAGATTCTTTGGATTTTCTTAATGTACATGCACAGATAGCTCTACTAATAGCCTATGTAAACAGTCCTTAGTCTTGTGCCTTGGCCATTACCTCCCCACTCCCACGCTGGGAACATACCTGTGTTTAGGCTTTAGGCCATACATTTCATGGTCAAACCTTTGGTTCACCTTTTTTTCCATATATGTGTTTACTAATGATTCACCACAAATCTTTGCCAAAAAACGTTTAAGTCGAGAAAGGAACAACACATCAAAAGGAAGGCCATTGTCTCCTACACGATTCAGGATCCAAGCCCCTCTCCTGGTGCTGAGGAATACCTGGGGCACAGGAAAAAATTGTTTGCTTTTACCATTCTCTGGCTCATAATCCTTTAAAAGCATCCCATTTTCTTCAAGATTAAGTTTAAACTCATTAGTCTGATTTTTTAGCCCCTGAACAATCTTTTTTTATTTCCTGCCATTTTCCTTCTCAAAAACTAAGCTTACAATTAAATTGGTGTATTCACTGACCAAGAATATGTCTTACTCTGAACCACCATTGCATTTCTATTTAACGTCATTATGGCTCCCTGAAAAGCCCCCTATCCTTTTAATTCTCCAAAACCTATTCATTTTTAAGATCTGGATCAAGTCTGCCTCCTCCATGAAGACACCATTGACTGTTCTGGCTGACAATTTTCTCTCTATCCGCTGATCTTCTCTAGCACTTATCACCTGTCTAGCCCATTTAAAATCATGGAATGGTAACGCTGAAAGCAACTGGAGATCATTCAATCCAAAACCCTCAGTCTTTTTTGCCTTTGACATTGTTTGCATTATTACAAAGAAAACTTATCACTTATATTGATATTAAATGTTTTACACTCTTATTTTCTGTCTCTCCAAATGCGTTTTCTCCAGGGTAGGAGATATAGCATACAATCTTTTAGTCTCCCCAACACATCATCATCATCACTTCCATTTATTGAGAATTGTGACCTGTAAGCCACTGTGCTGGGTCCTTTATCTATATTCTTATTTAATCAATACAACAACCTCTTGAGGTAGGTATTAGTATCCCCATTTTATGGATGAGAGGCATGGAGAGGATGAATAACTTGCCTGAGATTATACAGCTAGTAAGTGGCAGAGCTGAATTTCCAACCCAGGTCTGACTCCAAAGCCTGCGCTTAAGAAATGTCCCCTTGCTTATTTAATGGGAAAACTGAAGATTGCTAGTAGAACAACAGGAAGCTGGGCAGTCTTTCTATGTTCTCTGCTCTCTAAAGTCCACATTCAGAGCTAATAACATTTGATATTCAATTACCTGGCAAAAGCATCACATTCTCTACATTACAAAACTCTCTGGAGATAGTTTCCAGAGTTGTAAGGTTTATAAGTACATTGCTTTATGGTCTTTTGTCTAAGTTCTCACGTAAAAAGGTGACCTTTCTACAGAGGGATGATCATGTAATTCATTCATATATTCTCACTGATGGTGACCTTAAGCACTATCATAATTAAGCTCTTTTACATGTCACAGTAAAAGAGCATGCATGGTCTTAGGAATCGAACGGTTTTGTGCACAGTCTATATAACTTTTGCTATACAAGTATATGAGTAATATAAATGCTCAGATCCTAAAGCAAAAGGTCCCCTATATAGAAATAGTGACAATAATACATACATCACAAGGCTGTTGTGAGAATTAAATAGTGTTTTTGTAAAAGGTGTGGCCTACAGTAAACACTTGATAAATGCTTAATGGCATCATACATCTTATTTCAGTTTCCCATCTATACTTTGTTTTAAGCAAATAGCATATTTACAAATCTGGATTTATAGGGAAAAAAAGTAAGGAAAATTTTCTTACAAGAAAAGGATGTTTTCTCTTCATGAAAGCATTATACCACACGAATTATTATACCAAAACTTCCATGATACAACTGAAATTTATAGATTCATTTAAAATTTTTGATTTACAAACAACTTCTCATAAATACAATTTACTATGTAAAGCAAAAAGTTAGAACGCAGCAATTGAGTTTCTTCAGCTTGTATTAGTGGTGTGATGGTGCTGCCCCTGCTATGAGTTTTCCCAGACACAGCCACCTTATCTCTACTCATTCTGGATGCTTTGTTCTTTGGCAATTTACAATTCCACAATGCAGGTAAGGCCCAGCTCCCTCCTAACTGACCATTGGACAAGCCAATGATGTTAAAGAAGGCTAATGCCATGGGTCCCCACCACATACCTTGCATATTCTTCTATCATAACATCCACACACATTTTTACTCTTTCTTATTTATATACCTATTTCCTGATAAGTGCTTGATGAATTAATTCATGGAGTAACATATGAAATCACTTTTGTGATGATAAATGGGGTAGTACTAAGAAGTATTATTGAATGAAGTTTCTGGATAAGGGTCATTTAACAAAGTTGTGGCATTAAGCTTCTATTTTTTTTTAAATAATTTAAAACATATTTGTGGAGAAGCACAGCTTAATTAAAGTTACTGAAGAACAATCAGGCATTTACCTATTGCCAATAAAGTTAAGATTCAATAAAGACATGAATAACAAAATATAACAATAACATGTCTTTTTCTAGGAATTTATCATGAAGACACTTCTCAATTCAAAATATGTGATACAAAAAACAAAACAAACAGGGGCCGGCCCCGTGGCTTAGCGGTTAAGTGCGCGCGCTCCGCTACTGGTGGCCTGGGTTCGGGTCCCGGGCGCGCACCAACACACCGCTTGTCTGGCCATGCTGAGGCGGCGTCCCACATACAGCAACTAGAAGGATGTACAACTATGACATACAACTATCTACTGGGGCTTTGGGGAGGAAAAAAAGGAGGAGGATTGGCATGGATGTTAGCTCAGGGCTGATCTTCCTCACACAAAAAAATAAATAAATAAAGAGTGAGGACCAAATTCACTCACCATCCTGTGAGTGAGAAGTTTTCAATGACCCAGTGTGCTTTCCTTCACGTAAGAGCGTGGTACTTCTGCCGGCCAGCAGAAGATCCACACTCTGAATGCTGCATTCTAACAAGCTTTCCCAGCAATTACTTGGTCTTCTTCAAAGCCAGAGGCACACTCTGAGGAGAAGACAGCTGATTGGGATTATCAGCACAGTCTGTGGTCATAAACTAATTCCTAAGTATGAGGCCAACTGAATGATGGAAATCTAACTGGTAACCTTGGCTCCATCACATCATCAATCACGATGTTGCCAAATGAGGCAATGAAATGAACCCTACATTTGCCACTGGCACTGATGGGCTATGTGCAGGTATCCATACTCTCTATTGGGTTCACCTGCAGCTTCCTTGGTGAAGAAAAGTAAATAATTTACTGATTCCAACCTGCTTGGCTGTATGGCTAATCTCCACAGCAAGATCCCCTCCAGAATTCCCAATGCCAATTACAATGACTCTCTTTCCAGTGAAACTCTCTGGGTTCTTATAGTTTCGACTATGGAAGTACTGTCCTTTGAACTTCTCAATTCCTGCAAGAGAATGGAAAATAATTATTGGGTGATGGTTTATCTGATATCATTTGTGAAATCATTCATTCATTTTTTTTGCAGTGTGTAGCATCTATTCTCCATATGTTCTCATTTTACTCAGCTGCATTCTTGCATTTCTGAATATTTTTGCCTATTTTCTTTTCCCATAGCTTCAGAACAGAACCTTGTGATTGCCTATCCGAAGTAGTCTCCTTAACTCAGTATCTGTTTGCATTTTGGAATTGTAGACTTACAAATCCAAACTGCTTCAGAAAACCTCCATTCTCTTTTGTCTTTTCATCCTCTTTAAATACCTACTGTCATTTCAATTGGAGTATATATGTTTATACTCTATACAGTGCTTTTTTTTTTTTAAATGAAAATCCTGGCCAAAGACTGTAATTATATTCTATCTTTAAGTTTTGTGTGTGCGTGAGGAAGATCAGCCCTGAGCTAACATCCATGCTAATCCTCCTCTTTTTGCTGAGGAAGACCGGCTCTGAGCTAACATCTGTTGCCAATCCTCCTCCTTCTTTTCCCCAAAGCCCCAGTAGATAGTTGTATGTCGTAGCTGCACATCCTTCTAGTTGCTGTATGTGGGACGCAGCCTCAGCATGGCCGGAGAAGCGGTGCGTCGGTGCGCGCCTGGGATCCGAACCGGGGCCGCCAGTAGCAGAGCACGCGCACTTAACCGCTAAGCCGCGGGGCCGGCCCTATCTTTAAGTTTTAATTTCTTCCTTAGAAACTCAGTATTTCTGTTTGGTTCCTCGATTGCTGAAAAAGCCCTCATTCAACCTAATGCGGATCAACTCCACATTCTTTCTTCTGATCCTTAGAAAAATCAAAGCCATTGTGAAATTAAACATAGAGCCCTCTAATTTTCCTCTAGTCTCCAAAATTACCATTATCTCTGTCCCCCAAATGGCAGTCATAAAAGTTACCCCAACATCTTTCAGGGGAACATGCAGAATTAGAGTAAGCCTTATTTCATCCCAAGGTAGGATCACTCAGACCACAATCCTTCCATTCCTCAGAACTCAGGTCACAGGGATGGTTCAAAGGTCTTCCTTCCTGGTAGGCTACTCACCAGGGAAGCTTTCCAAGGGTAAGTTAGCATTGGTGTGATGGCCAGTGCAAACCATGACTCCATCGAAGACATTCACCTCCTTTTTCCCTTCAGATTCCGTGACCACCTCCCATTGGCCTGAAGTGGAGAAATCAGGTTGCTTCTTCACACTGCACACAGTGGTCTGAAAAGCAAAGTGATAGCCATAGGGGACTGTAACCACAGCTCTACAGTGGACATCTTCACTGACATGACTCTCCTTGCAGAGTGTTACACAAAGGGCTGATACTGCATAATAGGGCTCATACAGGGATATTTTATTTTCATACTCCACAAATAATAACTCTTTTGTTTGGGGCTGTGGTCAGAGTGAGAAAACTTTCATGAGGCAGGCTAAATATAATCGAGTTGGTGGGCTAATGTTGCACTCTCCTCTGCTTCTAGAAAAGTGCAATTAAGGCAGTGCAACATGTGAATAAAGCTTGGGCTTCTCTTGTGCTTCTAAGACACTGCATGCACTAAATGCCTATTCCTCCCCTGACCTCCAGACATCCTGAGACCCTCTGATGCCTTCTTACCCCAAATCCTGTTCTCACTGTCTAGCCTTAAACTTGTGACTGAGCTATAGGGCTCCCTTTCCTAGTAGAGTACAAAAACATCTCAGTGGCTCATATTTTATGTAAATGAACCTCTCTTTGGCTCCCATAAACGCCCATTTTACAAGTAACTATAAAGAAAGAGGCTGTGAGATGGGATAGTCAGTGGTATAATTTTTAGCTTTTTTAAAAAAAATAAATAATAAATAAAGGTTACTCTACCCAGCCTAAGGAAACATTAAGAATGTGGTCCTCTGTGCTTCTAGGTTCTATGGCCATATATCTTGGTGGACTAATAGAGACACCACCTCTGTATACCCTAGCCATCCTGCACTATTTATAGTTCCTCTCTATCATGTTCTTGCTTTTACAGCTGATGCTTCTGCCTGGATCATCCTTTTATTATTTTTTCATTTGGCAGATTCTAACTCACCCTTCAACGTTCAGCTTGGATATTATCTCCTCTAAGAAAACTTCCCTGGTGCCCGATGCCTCATGCCCTGATGGGTTAAGCATCCCTCCTCTGAGCTGCAATATGTAGATCTCTATGGAATTTACCACGCTGTAACACTTTGTTTTTATTAGTTATATTTATAATAAAATTTTCTTCATTTTTCTATCTCCCTAACTAGACTATGAAATCGCTGATTTTTTTATCTTTGTATCTTTACTGCTTAGTATGATAACAAACTTGTTCAATAAGTGTTTAAACAAGTGAAGGGAAGTACCACTGGGCTGTAAATGACTGACTTTGTAAGTTGTCACTGGATATTACCATTTTATTATTGTTGTTAAACAGAAAAGGCGTGATTCAGCAGAATGATCAGAAGGTAGAAGCGGGGTGGGGGTAGGGGAATTGGATGAAGGAGGTCAAAAGTCACAAACTTCCAGTTATAAGATAAATAAGTACAGGGATGTAATGTATAACATGATGACTATAGTTAACACTGCTGTATGGTATATTTGAAAGTTAAGACAAGAGATCCTAAGAGTTCTCATCACAAGGAAAAACAAAAAAGGTAGAAGATTTGGGCTATTTGCCAGCTGTCAGAAATATCTGTTCTTTTATGGCCATGGCTAAAAATAAGAAAAATTATGGGAGACTTTACAGCAAGAAGAAACCATTGAAGTGATCTAGTACAATCATCTTGTTTTCCAAACAAGAAAATTAAGACACATCAAAGTTGAGGAACTTACTTATCTGAGGTCACAAGTTCATTAGTGGTAGAGCAAAGACTAGAACTCAAGTTTTTGTTCCCCAACTCAGTATTCTTTCTTCTACACCAGACTTAACTTCTTTGCCTCCTCAATAACTTCTCAATAACTGCTTCACTGTGTTGTTGTGATCACATAAAATAATACATTGGAAAGTACTTCAGAAAGTATAAAAGGGCTAAGCAGTAATGGACAAGTTGTGAACCAGAAGTTTTAAAGTTCCTATACCTGTCAGTTCCCCTCATTTGTTGTATTGCAATCAAATAGTATAAAAGGAAGGCAATGAAAACATTCTGGCAGGTGGCTTCCTGGACCTGCAGCCAAAATATACAGAAGAGGGACGTTTCCATGAATATTTTTCAGGCACAGAGAAGACAAAGAGTGGAGTCTTTGGATAGGATAGATACATGTGCATATCAAACCAATCTTTACATGTAAGCACTGGTAAATGAAGCCACGTTGTTCATTTACTTGACAAACAACTTCAAACACAAAGATACCCACAAACTTCCCTACCTTCAATCGAATATACTTTAGAAGGTCAAATTCTTTGGCATACATCCTGAAATACTCCATGATCTGAGAGTTATGCATGAAGTTGGGATAATGATCTGGGATGGGATAGTCACTGAAGCACATCATCTCCTTAGAAGTGTTGATGATCACTGATTTGTAAATACTGGCCCTTCCTTCTTCAGGATTTTCCTGCAGTAAAGAAGCAGCATTCATAGCAACACGAGCATTACCTTTATGGTCTATAAACAGCCAATAAACATTTGAAAAAGTTTTCTGAAAGAAATGCCAATTAAAAGAAATTATACATACACACATATACCCCTCCACATCTCCCAGTATTTGCACCCTTGTGTAGTCTCTTCTCCTTGTTTCTGAATTGTCTTTATGACTTGCTTTTGACCAACAGCATGCAGTTGGAATGATACCGAATGGCTTCCAAGACTAAGTCATAAGTAATCTTGCAGCTTCTGCCTAGGTCTCTTAGAAAGCTTGCTTGGATGGAAGTTAGCAGCCATGAGAGAAGTCCAACTACCCTGACACCACCATACTATGAGGAAGCCCAAGCTAGCCACAGGAAGAGAATGTTTGGGATACAGAGATGTGTAGCCAGCCCCCAGAAATTCTAGTTATCCCAGTTGAAGTTCTACACATGAGAGCAAAGAGGCCATGGCAGATGTCCAGTCTCAGCTGTCACCTGATTGCAATGATATGAGACTCCAAGTGAGAACTGCCCATCTGAATAATATAGTCTTTTAAATATTTTATATATTCCAAAGCCTAGGTAAGTTTCAAAGGTTTTCAAATACTTGTGAGACTGCTTTCCAGGAAATATTGTTCTTATATTCTGTCCAGTATATGTCCCCATTTTACCTCATTTTTACTAACTTAGAAGACTTACTCAGTGTTAGCAAAAGTGGGGTGGAAATGGGAACTTATGCTAGAGAGAGTGTAAGTTAGTACAATGTTTTCTGGAGAGCAATGAGGCAAGTATATGAAAACCCTTGCAACTTACTTAGCCTTTTGAAGAAATATTCAGCATTGTAGACAAAGATTTATGTTAAAGGATGTTAATGGTAGCATTATATATAATATAAAAAGGAAATAAGCTAAACACCTGCAATATTGTGATTTATAAGAAATACACATTTGGTCATTCAGATGACCAAAATATACTTCCCCTATGTATTTGGTCTTTGTCTACAGTTTTTAGGTCATAGCTCCCCAAACTCTTGGAAGTTTCCAAGTGTTGGGAGTGACAAGGGTGTCTTTTTTTATGTCAGTGAGATGACTTTTGGAAAGCACCTAAGGATGGGGGCTAGTTGCCAATGGAGCCACCATGTGATTAGAGGGTTGGAACTTTCAGTCTCCCTCACTGACCTCCGGGGAGGGGAAAGGGGCTGGAGGTTGCATCAGTTGTCAATGACCAATGATTTAATCACTCATGCCTATGTAATGAAGCCTCCATAAAAACGCAAAAGGATGGGGTTCGGGGTGCTTCCAGGTTGGTAAATCCACAAAGACTGGGGAGGGTGGCATGCTTGGAGAGGGCATGGAAGGTCCACGCCCTTTCCCCATACCTTGCCTTATGCACCTCTTCCATCTGGCTGTTCCTGAGTTATATCCTTTTATAATAATGCAGTAATCTAGTGAGCAAACACGTTTCCTGAGTTCTGTGAACTACTCCAGCAAATTAAGTGAACCCAAGGAGGAGGTCATGGGAACCTCTGATTTATAGCTGGTCTTAGCAACCTGGACCTACAACTGACGTCTGAAGTCCGAAGTCCAAGGAGTGGGTCCTTGGAACCTCCAGTCTGTAGCTGGTGGGTCAGAAGCAAAACTAATAAACTGGGTTTGTGACTGGAGTCTGAAGTGGGGCTGGGGGGCAGTCTTGTAGTACTGAGCCCTCAACCTGTGGAATCTATGCTTTCTCTAGGTAGATAGGCATCAGAATTGAGCTGAAATCTCAGACACCTACAAGGTGTCTGGTCTCAAATCCATTTTAATGCACTAAAAAATACACTGAAATTTGAGAAGCACTGCTCTAGATCCTTGCTACCTAAAGTATGATCTGTGGACCAGCAGCAGTGGCATCACTTGGGAGATTGTTAGAAATGCAGAATCTCAGGCTCCACCCCAGACCTACTGAATCAGAACCTGCCTCTTAGCAAAACCTTCAAGTGATTCAGATGCATCTGAAAGCTGAAAAGCATTGCTCTAGATGACATGAATCCCCAATTCAGTGTTCTTCCCCCTACCAAGGTTAACTCATTTACTTCCTCAAAAACTTTCTAATAACTACCTCATGAGGTTGTTGTAGTGATCACATAAAATAATGCAATATCTACTCAGACTATTAGTCTGTCACTAAGATGTTACAAATGATGCCTTTTCAAATCTATTACATTTTTAAAAATTGTTTTGATTATAGAAAATCACCTTAACCATTTTGAAGCTCCCTTCCCTTTTTATTCCTGAAACGAGCAGATATTTGGATGCCGGGTATTACTGGCCGTTAAGTGTCCACAAAGGAGAATGTTCATTGACTTTGCCCACATTAGAGATAATTTTCCTCCCATTTGTATAGAAGAATTTTTCAGTCTAGGAATCTTGAATTGATCATTTTCATTTGTCTGCCCCAAACTCCAATATCTCATTCCCTTTGGCTGCTAATAACATTTTCACAAGTCTCTTTTCAAGTCTCTCCTTCTAATTTATCCTACCTGTTTCAACCAAAGCATTCTTTCTAGAGTATGGCTGTATCTCTGCCCTAATTACAATTTTGGATTGCCTCATTATCTATAGTTTATATTTTTCAGTTTAGGATTGAAAGACCTCCAAAATGTCTTACAGTATATTCTTTATCTCCCCCATTAGATTGTAAGCCCCTTGAATTGTATTCATAGTTTTTGACACAGCTTCTAAAATTACAAATAGAACTTAGTAAATATTTAATAGATGTATGTTGAACGGTATTCAGAAAGGCACATATATAAAAAGGAAGTAAACTGCACATAATGCATAACAAACTAATGAAATACATCAAAAATTTATTTAAAAAAGAGTTGAATAAGATATATTTATCTTATTACCAAAAATTTGTTATAAGGAAAATTGAAAAGTACTATAAAAGTCAAATCATAAAGATATCCATTTTGTATTATTTAAAATAGCAATTAATTAGAAACCACTTAAAACGCCCCCAACGTAGGTGAAAGGTATAGTAAGTTATGGTATCTCAATGTGATGAGAATTTATCTTCCACATTACTCCATAAATATCCTGCTAAATACAATGCCGATCCTGTCACTCCACTGCTTAATGGCTTCTACTGATTCCATCTGGAAAACCAAATTCCTTATTTTGAAACTCAGCATGTTTCACAATCTAGCGAAATCTATTTTTTAATCTTCATTTAGTGCTCTCCTCAATTAATTTCAAGTTTCTGAGCCATTAAATTGTTGCTGAAACTTTCTGTGCTCTTTCATAACTTTAAACTTTTGTACATATTACTGCTTCTTCATTTGGAAAATTCCTCTCTATCATTCAAGAGTCATGTCAAATGTCACTTCTTTGGAGAAGACTTTCCTGTTCTCCTCACAAAGTTGGATGTCCTATTCAACATCCAAGCTGCCAAAACTCTCTGCTCATATTGCCATTAAGGCAACTTTAACACACTATATTTTTCTGCATTTGTTTCTTTTTTTTTTTTTTTAATTTTTTGTTTATTGCAGTAACATTGGTTTATAACATTGTATAAATTTCAGGTGTACATCATTATACTTCTATTTCTGCATAGATTACATCATGTTCATCACCAAAATACTAATTACAACCCATCACCACACACATGTACCGAATTATCCCTTTCACCCTCCTCCCTCCCCCCTTCCCCTCTGGTAACCACCAATCCGATCTCTGTCCCTATGTGTTTGTTTATTGTTGTTATTATCTACTACTTAATGAAGGAAATCATACGGTATTTGACCTTCTCCCTCTGACTTATTTCACTTTGCATTATACCCTCAATGTCCATCCATGTTGTCACAAATGGCTGGATTTCATCGTTTCTTACGGCTGAGTAGTAAAGAAGATATACAGATGGCCAACAGACACATGAAAAGATGTTCAAAATCACTAACTATCAGGGAAATGCAAATCAAAACTACAATGAGATATCACCTGACGCCCGTCAGAATGGCTATAATTAACAAGACAGGAAACAACATGTGTTGGAGAGGATGTGGAGAGAAGGGAACTCTCATACACTGCTGGTGGGAGTGCAAACTGGTGCAGCCACTATGGAAAACAGTATGGAGATTCCTCACAAAATCAAGGATAGAACTACCATATGATCCGGCTATTCCTCTGCATTTGTTTCTATGACTTACCTGAGAGTAGGATCTCTGTCTTATTCTTCTTTGTATCTCTATCATCAACACAGTACCTGATATATAGTGGATGCTCAATAAATGCTTTGAAATGAATTAATGAATGAGTTATGGAGAATGAATTTGGAGACACCTAAAACTATGATTTTGAAATCAATACAGGAACATTGAAAAGGCATATGGTATAACTTTAAGTGAAAAAGTAATATTAAAAAATTAAATTCACATTCTAATCACCAAATATATAATATTTGTATGCATAGTGCAATTGTATACCTAAGTCTACTCATGTTTATATAATTATACATTGTATACCTAAGTCTATCCATGTTTATATAATTACACATTGTATAATCTCTTCCCTGTTAGATGGATATCTTTGACTATATTTTATTTATTTTAAATCAATAAGACTTGAAAATAGGAAAACCAAGTTGATTTATTAAGGAGGTAGGATTTTTTTCTTTTATTTTTGTGGAAATGTTTGTACAACACTCATTCATAATAAAAACCTTCAGCAAACTAGGAATAGAGGGAAACTTCTTCAATTTGATAACGAACATCTACAAAACACCTACAGCTAGCATCATACTTAATAGTGAGAAAACAGACAATTTCCCCCTAATATCAGGAACAAGGCAAGGATATCCTCTCTCACCACTCCTATTCAACACTGTACTAGAAGTGTGACTCCAAGTATTAAGGAACCAGGAGATTTACCTGGAACCTCCAGAGCCCTCCGATGTCATCAGTCCTTTCAAAGCAGATGGGCTCCAAGCCTTCTTCCAGGCAGCACTTGATAGACGAGAGCCCGCTCACACCTGCACCAATCACAGCAATTCTTTTCTTGGTCATCGTTTCCAGAGATCTTCACCGGGCCGGGTCACTGTAACCCGTCCTAAAGAAAGGATGACAAAGACAGAAAGCACACATCAGTTAACGCTTTTCAACGAAGACCTTGGCCATAGCATCCAAATAAATGCTGCAACAACAGGTGCCTTTGGGGAAGCCCGAGTCTGCTGTCCTCTTAGCCTTAAGGAAGCGCTACGCCAGCCACCGGAGAGCCCTGGGCCTGAAAGACGCAGAGCCTAGACCCAGAGCTGAGAGCTCTGCTGTGCTACCAGACCTCACTGCCTTTCTTGCAGCACCGAAGCACCCAGCAGATCCTTCAGCTGCGAGCTGGAGGCTACTCTGCACTTGCAAAGAAATCTAGAGCAACCAAGTGCAAACATCAGCCAGTAGGACGGGGCTGCTCCACTCCACCTCCTTTCAGCCAACACCCCGCCCACTCAGCGGCAAGCACTCCCTTCCCCATCGGGAATAAAACTCGGGCCAAACTTATTTTGGGTAGAAAAAAATTAATCCTACAGCCTATCTATTTTCCCGCTGCAGTTGCCCTAACTCTCAGCTACTCTCTCTGGAGACTGAGCGGCCTGTGTCTCTATCCCTCCCCACCCACTTTTAACTTCCTGGTATTTCTTTAAAGTGACAAACTCCTACTGGTGAAGTGAAACTTGTCAACAACCCCAAAGCAAGTCCTGCTACAAAAGCATAAGCGAAGAACACCTACCTTTCGGGACATCTGTTAAAATAGACCCTGGCCTCTTCTTCCACTTCCCCACCACAGCCCCCACCTCACAGTTTGGATCTTTGGTTCTAGGTTACTGGTAGAAATTGACTTCAATGGAGATTCCTCCAAAAATTAAGGATAGAACTACCATATGATCCAGCTATTCCACTGCTGGGTATTTATCCAAAGAACTTGAAAACACCAGTGCAAAGATACATGCACCCCTGTGTTCATTGCAGCGTTATTCACAATAGCCAAGACTTGGAAGCAACCTAAGTGCCCATCAAGGGATGAATGGATAAGGAAGCTGTGGTATATATACACAATGGAATACTACTCAGCCATAAGAAACGATGAAATCCAGCCATTTGTGACAACATGGATGGACACTGAGGGTATTATGCAAAGTGAAATAAGTCAGAGGGCGAAAGTCAAGTACCGTATGATCTCACTCATTAAGTAGTAGATAACAACAACAACAAACAAACACAGAGACAGAGATTGGATTGGTGGTTACCAGAGGGGAAGAGGGGAGGGAGGAGGGCGAAAGGGATAATTCGGCACATGTGTGTGGTGATGGGTTGTAATTAGTATTTTGGTGGTGAACATGATGTAATCTCTGCAGAAATAGAAGTACAATGATGTACACCTGAAATTTATACAATGTTATAAACCAATGTTACTGCAATAAACAAAAAATTAAAAAAAAAAAGAAATTTACTTTAAAATACCTATGCACTGAGCTAGGTGCTGGGGTATGGTGAGGAATGGATTACGTTCCCTACTTAGAGGAGATTACAGTTTAATGAAGAAAACCAAAAGACAAACAGGTAACTTCAATAAAATAAAAATACTTTTTAGGGGCCGGCCGGTAGCGCAAGCTGTTAAGTGCGGGCGCTCTGCTGCCGCCGCCGAGGTGTTTCGCCGGTTTGGATCCCAGGAGCGCGCAGATGCACTGCTTGTCGAGCCATGCTGTGGCGGCGTCCCATATAAAGTAGAGAAAGATGGGCACGGATGTTAGCTCAGGGCCAGTCTTCCTCAGAAAAAAGAGGAGGATTGGCAGCAGATGATAGCTCAGGGCTGATCTTCCTCACAAAAAAATAAAAACTACTTTTTAATAGTGCTTTCTCTCACACAATTACATGTGTTAAGTAGAAACACAAAATATCCATAACATAAAATGTAACTTAAAATTTTCAAATATAAAATCATTGGCAGAAAAGGCCAGTGTAACAGACATAGTACTTCACACACTGAGTCAGAATCAGGGCCTATCCAACCTAGTCTATTGTGACAGACGTAAAAAGTGGGAGAGGTAGCTTGTGGGTGATGCCATCCATCTTTGTTTACCTTCTACCACTCCCTGAGTCAACTTTGCGCAAGATGATTCGATGCCAATAACGCCAGGCCTGAGTTTTGACATACTGGCTTCACCCTAAAAGACTGACCTTCACAGGCCAATGATTATCATTTCTCAACAGCTTACCTTGGATGGTTCAAAAGGCTTAATGGGAATGGACCCACATGTAATCCTCTCAGCAACCCCGTGAGGCAGGTACTATCATCACCCCAATTTTGCAAGTAAATGGAAAGGCAAGGAGGTAAACTAGGCAGTCTGGCTTCAGGCCTGGGCTTTCAATTGCTATATATAATACTACTCCTTTATGAGGATATTTTTACTTCTTATTTAGCCACAAGTCCTTCTTCCGTTTCTCATCTCTCTATTACATCCCTTTTCTTTTTGCCTAACTCCTGCCTTTACATTTTACACTTTAGTTGAATTGCTTTTAGCTGAGCTATAGCTTGCCTTATTTCAACCACTTTAAAATGTTTAAAAATCATTTGACTCCATCAGGAAGATGCGTGCTCAATATATGGTCTGAATTCTATGAAAATATAGTAAACACACACTCAGTGAGGAACATATGACATCAACATATCCTAATGGGAGAATAAAGGGGAAGAGGCTCAAGGATGGAGTTTTATATATATTTTTCAGTAATTAAAAACATGTTTTTGCTTTTTGATGTGATTCTTATTTATTAAAATGTCATTAATCTCTCAATAGTCACATCAAGATGACCTAATCAAAAAGTTATTAAAAAAAAGCTGCTGTTTACTTTTGCTCTGGATTATCTTCTCACTTTGCTCCAGAAATCCTTTATTTAACTAGTGTCCTCACAGATTACCAGCAAATAGAATGCCTTTGGTCACCAAATATCTTTCCTTCTGTCTAATGCTACTTTCTCCTAGAAAGAAAAAGCAGGATTTTCTTCAGTTACCTAAATGTATCTCCCTTGAGATTTCAGAAAAATTAGCTTCTCATTCTATTCCTACCCAAGATTTATGGTAGTGAAAGGGCCAAGGGACACTTAAGAACAAGAACATCTCATATAATGATCCTGTTTCTATTAGACCATGGTTTATTGGATATTGGAGAACTTAAATGACTTCCTTTCAGTTAATGAGTTGCTGGACCACAAGGCGCCACATCTTTTTTTTTTTTTTAATCTTTTCCGCCCCCCTCCCCCAAAGCCCCAGTAGATAGTTGTACATCATAGTTTCACATCCTTCCAGTTGCTGTACGTGGGACTCGGCCCCAGCATGGCCGGAGAAGCAGTGCATCGGTGCGCGCCCGGGATCCAAACCCGGGCCGCCAGCAGCGGAGCGCGCACACCTAACCGCTAAGCCACGGGGCCGGCCCAAGGAGCCACATCTGAATCTGAGGGAGACCACTGCAAGTCACCTAGAGATCTCAGAACTTGAGCTGGGTTTAGTAACTCGATGGGATTTGGAGTTGTTTCCCTTGGCATGGGAATGACTATATCAGGAGAAGGATGAACATCTGTTGCCAGTCTTCCTCTTTTTTTCCTTTTTTTTCTCCCTGAAGTCCTAGTACATAGTTGTGTATCTTAGTTGTGCGTCCTTCTAGTTCTTCTATGTGGGACGCCGCCTCAGCATGGCTTGATGGGTGGTGAGTAGGTCTGCACCCAGTATCTGAACCGGCGAACCCTGGGCCGCTGCCAAAGCAGAGCACACGAACTTAACCGCTATGCCACCAGGCAGGCCCCTTGTGTTGTTTTTAAATTACTTGTAAAATATTTTGAAACTTGCCTCAAATTTTCCCTCTTTTTAGGCTAACTGCCAATTTGCAACTGAGTCAGTTTCTTCATTGGGCTGTAGCAATACATGCAAATTAATATACAGGCTCAACTCAGTTATCCTATTGGGAAAGAGCAATAATACAAGTGATTGATAACAGTAACTAGTGCCAAGGTAATATATATGAGGCTTTTGACGGACTGTGTGTGTGTGCATGTGTGTGCATATATGATTATGTTTACAGAGGAGTTTCTGCAAAGGTCTAACCCAGAATGCTCGAGCATAGCCTCACCTCTACTCAGATGTTCTCCCATTTTCTAATTCTTTCTGTTGTCTGCATTTTGCTTACATTCATTCAACTAATATTGCCCTTTGGAGGCCACTTCTTTTAAGATGGCAGCTTTATATGATAGAAGGAGCTTGGATCTTGTTTGAAGGAGAACTGCAAAGCAAAGCTGCCTGACAAGCTTGGGACTGTGACATGAGTAAGAAATATACTTTCGTTGAATTAACATGTGGAGATTTATTTGTTACCGTAGTAAAGCTTGTATCAGTCAATCCTAACTAGTGCAGCAGTTACTTACAGCATAGCATCTATTCTATACCTGCTACGTGCTAGGTATTTTGTTAGGCACAGAGGAGGGAGGGAAAAGGCATGTGGAAAGGAAATGAAGAGATAAATCATGGGCGTTATGTAGGCTGAAAGCACGGCCCCCAAAGAAATCCATGTTCTAATCCAAAGAACCTGTGAATTTTACCTTACGTGGCAAAAGGGACTTGGCAGATACAATTAAAGTAAGGATCTTCAGATCGGGAGATTTTCCTGGATTATCCGGGTGGACCTATTGTAATCACAAGCATCCTTATAAAAGGGAGAGTGAGGGAGATTTGACTGTAGAGACAGTCAAACAAGTGAAGCAAGATGCTATGCTGCTGGCTTGAAGAGGGAGGAAGGGTTCTAGGAACCTAGGAATGCAGCTCTGGAAGCTGGAAAAGGCAAGGAAACAGGTTCTCCCCTAGAACCTCTGGACGGAGCACAGCCCTGCAGACACTGTGATTTTAGCCCAGAGAAACCCATTTGGACTTCTCGTCTCCAGAAATGTAAGAGAATAAATTCGTATTGTTTTAAGTCACTAAGTTTGTGGTAATTTGTTAGAGCAGCCACAAGAAGCTAATACAGATATGATAAGCACTTGCACAAAATGAGGATACAGGGATTTGTTCAAAAGTAAGCTAATCTGAAAGATAAGTTCTATGAATCAGCTTATTTGAGATGAAATGTCAGTCAAGCAGCCATGCTGATTGTGCTTCCTGTGGGTCCAATGCTGCATGCCGTGCTCTCACACACAAAAACAAGCAATGGAAGAAACTGCCCTTCATGATTTTCAAAGACG